TGAGGCCAGCTGAAATCCCCCGCCTGGAACAAGGTTTTGGGGCAGAGGAAGTGCTTCAGATTTTTCCCAATTTACTCTACATCCTGATATATTAGAGAACCGGTTAATAATTCTTAAGAGATCAGGTAAGGCGTGTTATAGCTGTGAAATCAGGACCAGAGCATCATCAACATTCAGACAGTTTTAAAAATTTGACTTAAAAACTTTAAGCAGTGATCACAGAGTCTCTCAAGTTTTACTTGCAGCAAGAAGTCAGGGGGTACAGAGTAAGACTAAAGCTTACAGCTCACGGATGCCATTATAGCTGGAGTCACAGTCATTGTGGAATTTTCCATGCATGTGCCGTCATGCCGAGGCATACAATCTTATCTTTATTAGCTCCGACTCAGCCCCGTTTCAGGGTTTTCAACAGCAGTCTTCTTGCAAGTACATCATAATCAACTGATCTCATACAGACGTAAGTCGAGCAATGGTTTAACATAATTTTAAATTTTCTTGTAATTAAGAGGGTAGCAATAGATAGCATGATTGGAACTATGACTATGACATGTAGTGGGTTGATAGCAGGTTAGTAAAGCTGTTGCTAGGTTAAAAATTGGAGGTGAGATTCAACTCATTTTTAAGCAACTGTCAATTCAGTTTGTATAATTCTGTTCAAAAGCAAAACATAAAAAAAGGCCATTAGAGGAGAGCAGAACTCACTGAAAACAATTTATTGAAATTCTACAAAAGTGCAGAATCAGTGAATAAAAAGCGGAGGCATCCACCAGATGTCAACCAATAAGCACGTAGTTATATGCACAAAAGCTTCATAATGTAGCTATAATATGTAGCCTACAAGATTATTGATGGTAAACATGACTCTGTAACAGTTTCCCCAATGTCCAGCTTGCTGGTCTGGAGCAAAGCCACAAAGCCACAGCAAGATCAGACCAAGAGCTCAGGAGCTACACCTCAGACTCAGTTAGCATGGTAAATAAGAGTACAGTTAGCTGTCAGGAGAAAGCCTCTTCTTTCTAAACAGGTTCACAAAGTTGCATCAGAGCAAACGACAAGACTTCAGGAGAAAATTTTGTTTGGACAGATGAGACCAAAGCAGAGATGTGTGATGATTTGTGCTTTTTTGCATAGAAACAGCTTCAGGCAGACTGAAGAGCGGGTGTGTCAGATTTCAGCCTTCAGACAGACCTTTTAGCAAATTTCCTCTTATAGATGTGCATTCAAGTGCACATAGGTGGTGGTGAAAGCGCCAATTTATTCATGTTATGCATTTGAAAAAGAAAACTGTCGCTCTACATGTGAACTTCCTTTTTTCCCCCTTTTTATTCCTCACGGCCACTGTAAACTCCTGGTTTAGTGTCCA